AGAGAGAGAGGGTCGAGAGGAAATCTCGCTCCTTTTCCCGCCGTGAGTGTGGACGCCTCTCCGCCGGCACCTGTCAGAGGCGCACACACGCACAATGAAGACAAAATGAGGCGAGACGTACACAGAGAGCTGGAGAGAGGGGGAGTGGGCTTACGGCCACAACAACACTGGTTGTGGCGGCAGACGGACTGGCGGGCCAGGTCATTAAAAACACACGAGCACAGGCGATAGCAAAGAAGAGGGACGGGGGAGTCAGCCACCAGTTTCCTGCAGACACGTACACAGAGAGAAAGGAAGCTCAAAAAAAAAATAAGTGAGAAACAATCAACAAACAAGAAGCATCCAAGGTCAGTACTGCCACGAAAAAAAGTTTGCCCATGCACGCGCGCAGACACGCAAGGCCACTTAATATGCCTACTTTCCCAACATTGCAGGGCAGCAGCAACAAAGACGACGACGACGACACAGCGGCGCCCTCCCCACCCAACTGGGGTCCTTCTCTTCACACGTTGGATTCGCTGCTCATTTCTCAAGCTAGCGGCGAGGTGGGCCCAGGTGTCGTACACCTCTCCTCCTCCATTTGCACAACATCCCGCAGGGAAAGACGCCGCACCGTCGCCTTGGCCACCTCCAGCTCACGTGACAGCAGGGCCAGCTCCCCTCGCTGGACCTGCAGTTGCTGCTCCCTGCTCGCCAACTCCTCCGTGAGACGCGCCACCGTGGCCTCCAACAGCGGCACCAACTCCAGCTGCGAAACGGCCGTGCCACCCATCACGGCAGCACCACCAATTTCCCCCGCATTGGGTGCGTCTCCCCCCACCGCGGCCGGCCGCTCGCTCACCGCTTCCTCCTTCTTCCCTCCTCCTCCCTCGTGGGGTGCTCGCTGAGGTGCGGCCGCCACCATGGCAGGGGCAGGACCCGCGCAGCCGCCGCTCGTGTGCGATGTCGCCCCCTCCCCCGCCTTTTCGTCAAGGTGCAGCGGGACGACGTTCAGGAGCGGCTTGCGCAACGACGGAATGACGGTGACCTTCTTGGCGAACTCAAACTCCTTCGGCACTGTGACGAAATTCTTCCAGGTTCCCGCCCTGTTGCCCTCCAGTCGCCTCTCTGCCTCCACGCGCAGCTGCCGCGCCTCCTCCATGCGCTCCAGGTGGGCGGCGACACTCGGGTCCTCGCACAAGTTTGACGCGGCGTGCGCGGAGCTCGGCCGACGCTGTAGGCTCCTCGAGGTTGCCAGATGCGGTTGAAATGAACACTCGCCAAGGCTGTCGCGCAGAAACTCCTGCTGCAGCCGTTGAAGCGACCGCTCCCGACCCTCCAGCCACAGCTGTGACTTGGCATACATGGCGTCGGGCCTTGTCACGTAGTACCGACCGGCGGCCCACAGTTGGGCGTTTAAAAAGCGCTCTTCCTCTGCGATCCATGCATGAATGTTTTTGTGGTTGCCGCTGAGCGCCACAGCTGGACCGCTGGAGGCCCGACGGAGTGTGGCCCCGCCGTGCGCTTCCGCCGCCGCGCCACGGGAAACCGCCTGAGACTTCCGCCTTCCGGGCATGACGGCTGCGGCACCAGGCGGAGGGCTCAGCTCGCGCAGCCACTGAAGCCGTCCTTCCTCACCCGCAGCTTTAGCCGATCCCCAGCGCCGCGGGCCCTTGTCACGTCCACCGTCCGCGCAGCCCGTTTTCCTCCGCGTAGGCGAAACGGCGGCGACGCAAAGCGGCGACAGGACCTCGCCAGGTGCCGCACCGCTCGGCCGCACAGGCAGCGGCGAAGCGGCCTCCGCCTCCGCCGCATTCGGCTGTGCGGCGGTCTTCAACGCCTCCGGGCTGCCTCCGGCGGGGCTTGTGGGCGGCTTTGTGCTGGCTGCCGCACTGCCGTCCAGAAACCGGCGGTGTTCCTCAAGACGGGTCCGATGGCGCGCGATCACGTCGTCCACGTCCATTACTCACAGACTTCGCTAACGATAATAAAATGCGCAACGCCGCGTCAACTCCTTCCCCCTCCCCTTTTCGTGGCCCTGCACAGCACAGCCCCACACCCCCCGCGGTGCCGGCAAGAGGAAGATGAAGGAAAAAAAAGAAAGCGAGGGGGTTCCCGCAAGCGTCCGCGCGCGTGTGCAGCAAGGCACTGGCGCACCGGAAACACGGGCGTGCCCGCAGAGTAAAGAGACTGAGGCAGCACTTCGCCTCTACGGCGGGGCGTCGCGCAGAGACATATATCAGAAACATGAAAAACAAAACTAAAATAAAAAGCAAAATACACATTGCGGGTTGCGGCCCGCAGAAGTGAGGGGCCTATTGGCTTGCACACGAGGTACGCCGCAGTCAGCAGCTCCTGCGCACTACACCCGGTAATAAGAATTATGCACTCGCCGCCTTTCCTCCCCCCCAAAGGGCCGCAGAGTATATATAAACATGCGACTGACAGCCCGCTCTCCCCCAGCACAAACACGCACAGGCACACACAAGCTTGGAAGAACTGTGGAGACGTCGAAAGAAAAAAAAAAAACTAGCCGTCGCGTTTCTACAGTGAAAACAGAAGAAAAAAACAAAACCAAAAAAAAAACGCGTCGTAGACTTTTTTTTTCTTCTTGTCGAACGCGGGTTGACAGTGGGTATGGGTATATCCCGCCCATTGCTGCCTTCTATATGCAAACACAATCAGCACCCCGCCTCCGCAGAACTCGGGCTTGCGCTGCCCCCCCCCCCCAAGAGAGCGGCTCACTCCACGCAAAAATCTGCTGCTCCCGCATCGAAGCCGTTCACGCCAGAGAGCAAGATAGATGGATAGAGAGAGAGAGAAGGTGTGGCTACAAAGCAACGCGTTCTCAGAAGGGACAGACGTAGCTGGCCAAACGCATCAGCAGGGGCCGCTTGGAGTGTGGCACAGGTGTGACGAGTACGCCATCGGGGTGCTTTGACGGATCAATTTGGCCCTCATCCTCGTCCGTCTCGACCTCGTCATTGCGAGCTCTGCGGACGCTGTTGCGTCGCCCGCGACTTTCCTCGCCGGTGCTGTAGTAGCACAAGAAATCCAGCACGTGGCTCTCCTTCGCCGCCAGGCACTCCTCAATGATGGCATCCGTGTGGTTGGCTCCGGGCACCAAAATGTACTCAATATCCACCGGCCGTGCCTGACAGCTGCCGGTGCCTTGGCCGCCGTCCGTGTACTGCTCGGCCAAGCGTGCACGCTGGGCGTTGCGCATCACGAAGGCGAGATTTGCCGACTCCGACACAGGGGCGCTGCAGTCCGCGTCCCCGTGAATAAAGTGCATGCGTTGGGGGAGAAAATCAAAGATGTTTTTGGGCAGCACCTCCCCTGTGGCGCCGCAGCGTCGCTCATCAAAGTACGCCGTCGGCGAGAAGCGGGGCAGGCGGGAGCGGCCCCCGGCGATCTGGTACAGCACGCTGCGGTAGAGCCCTCGGCGGTCAAAGTGCCTCACCAGACCGCGAATATTATAAATGCCGCTCAGCCCAACGTATTGGCGAATGGAGGCGCGGGGGTTGTAGCGGGGGACGTTGTACGCGGCGGTGCTCGGTGGGGTGCCACCGGCGACGGCGTGCGCGCTCAGCTGCGCCTGCGAAAGCAGCGACATCATCGTGAGGTGGGCGCCCGCCGACTGTCCGACGAGCGTGACGTCCGCGACGTCCCCACCGTAGCGCTCGGCGTTTTGTAGCACCCACCCCACGGCGTCTGAGACGTCCAGCACCATCCCCTCCATGTCCGTCTGCGGGAAGTTGCGGTAGTCGGGGCAGAACACAACGTACCCGCGTGCGGCAAGAAGTGGAGCCAAGAGAAAGTTCCAGAAGGAGAAGCCGACAATCCACGCGCCGCCCACAACTGAGATCACAATAGGGAACTTTTTGCGCTGCAGCCTCGACCGCGACGAGATCATTCGCTCCTGCTCCATCATGCGAAAGAGCGAGTCGAGGGGCACCGGCAGGTAAATATCGAGCGTGGCGCGGTTATGAAGATTTTTCCGGTCCTCCTCGTCCTCGTCGTCGTCGGACTCGCCTGTTGAGGTGGGCTCCACCGCCGCACTCGGCGGCGCGTCGGGGTTTTTTTGCTCCCCCGCCGGCTCGACGGTGCCACCCGCCGCGTCATCCGCGGCGGCGGCGGCGGCGGCGGCGGCGGCGTAGTAGTTTTGAATAAACGCCACGGTGTTACTGAAGGAGCCGATGCTCTGCATCATCGCGTCTTCCTCCACGGCCCCTGGCGCCGACGTCAGCGAGGACGACCCCAGCGGCAGCCCCATCATCAACCGACCGTCGGCGGGGTTTAGTGTGGAGGCCAGCAGCTCCACGGCGTCCATGTCAGGGTCTGTGCGCCGCCGAGGGGCGGTCGGCGACGCCTCGCCGCGTTCCGCATTGCGCTTCGCCGGGGGAATACGTGCCACCTGTTGGAGGAATATCTGCAGGTTGCGTTGCCTGGTTCGCTTGGAGGAGCGGTAGGAGACACGGCGGATGATGCTCGGCGACAAAAAGTGCTTCACCATGTGCGGGAGGAAGTAGCCGAGGTCGAGCACCGCGAAGGTGACTAGGCGAATGGCCATGAACATCCACTGGACGCCGAGGCCCATTGCCGCAAGCAGCTGCGCCGTGACGCTGATGATCCATAGGATCTGCTGAATTACATACTTAATCATTGTGGTTCCGTGCGTGCCCACCCTCACAACCATTCACACACACACACACACACACACGCGCACACCCAGGGAAGGGGCCGTTGCAAAAGAAACTATATATATATATATATATATATGTGCTTTTTATCACCTCTTTGCCTTCCCCCCTCGTTGCAGGGCCACCTCCGGCCTGGGCCACGGGAGCAAGAACAAGCGGGAAAAGCGGCAGAGGGAAAACCGGACGACTTCGTGCGTGGCAGCAAAATGACGGCGAGAGTGAGAGGGAAGGGAGGACACAGTGAAAGCGAGAAATACAATAGTCCCCGCACGTAGCAATTATCCTCCCCCAGTCAAAAAGTATATATTTAGGACCAGCGGCAAATTCTTCAGGGTCCACATTAATAGCATTGCCTCAAAGCAAAAAAGAAACAAAAAAAAAGCCAAAGCCGTCTCACTTGTGATGGGCAGCAGTGGCTAGGTCCCATAAGTGCAGAAAATACACGCCCTGTACGGCAGTCACGGCGAGAGGGGGAACGCGGCAACTGGGGCCGGCTTGCGTACCTGCAGCCACTTTCACCGCCGTGGACGTCGTGCCGGTTCCCGTAGCCGCGGTGCTTCTTCCTGCCTCTACGTTGGTGGTTGTGGGGGTCATCGTCGACGTCGCTGTTGTGCATTTCTTCTTTCTCACCGGAGTCGGGGGTCCCGCCGACGCACCCGCCTCTTGCCAGGCGGCAATGTTTTCGTTCTCCGCCGCAACGGTGTCCATGAGGCACGCGTGCTGGCGTGGCGGTGAGATCTCCTCGAAGGCCGCCCCGCACGCGGCGCAGGCGCTTGGGTGGCCCGTCACAACATCTCGCGCGGCGCAGGCCCCACAGGAGCTGCAGAAGAACGCCGTGACGGGACGCAGCACATGTGCCACAACGCACTCCACGTTGTCTGGCGCGTACGCCACGTGGCAGCGGGCGCCAAGGCCAAGGTCCACCAGGGGCGGGGAGCCACCTCCACGCCGGACACCGTTCTTGGGGCCCTCAAGCTGAGCCGTTCGTCCCTGCAACACCGCCTGGCGGATTCGCCCGGCGATGGCGCCTGCACTACTCTCGGCGACAGCCGAGCCTTCCGTGGAGAGCGGTGGCCTGCGGCGGCCGCGTGTGCCGTTGGCTCGGCCATGCAGGCTTGGCGCAATCTGCCGCGTGCGGCTCACGGCTCCCCCGTCGCTTGCGCCACGCGACCCCCGGCGACGAGACGGAGGGGCGCGGCCCTGCGGCTGATTCACCCCAATAAGCGTCGGCTTCAACGGGTTCTCCTTCCGCGTGTACTCGCAGGGCTGACCAGACAACCTCGCGTCAAAGTTGATGAACTGCGTCGTTGTCCCCGTCATCGCTGCGGAGGTGCGCCCGGAGGGCACGACGCCACTCCCCACAGACTCCCGCCTTTCATCCGCAGCCCCTGGCACGGGGAGAAGTCCCTGCGGGGTGACCGGCTGCCAGGTGCCCCGCAGTCGCACGGGAGCCCCACGCTCGTCCCACTCGATCACCTCACTACTGCCCATCCCCAGTACACTTCCCCCGTTGCTTTCTGCGTCGGCTGTGGCACACGCCGCCACCTCGGCGAGGAGGACGGGGTAGAGCGTGCGCTCTGCCTGCGATACACGCTGACTGACGTCCACGACCACGGCGCCCTCCTCGCCATCTTCTATCGCACCAGCGACACTGCACTCTTCCTCCTCCTCCTCGCCGGAGGCGGGGGTAGTCGCACGGCACCACGGCTCCCGCTCTACCGTCCCCGGCGATGCCGCGTAGTAGCCGTCGTACCACGCCGGAAGCCCCTCCGGCCCGGTCATGCCGCCGGTCGTGTCATTTCCCCCAGTGCCGACCGACCTCGACGTCGACAGCAGCCCCGACCCCGTGAAGGGGGCATGCACGTCCACAGGAGGAGCGGAGGACGACGGTGGCCACCCGTCCCCTCCTTCCCCCCGCTGCTGCCGGTTCTGCCGGCGCACGTCCTCGCGAAGCATCGAGCGCTTCACCTCCGCGCGGGTTGCGCGTGACTCCTTGAGGGCCCCTTGCCGCAGCGCCTCCAGCGCCACGTCAAGATTGCGCAGTCCATCCCGCCCTCTGCTGTACATTTGCACCGCGGCCAGCGTGGGGTGGAGTCGAACACGCTGCAGCGATGCCCCCTCCCTTCCGCCACCGCAATGGCCCCCTTTTCCCGTTGCCTGCTACGCTACCGCCTTCGCTGGACGCAACGTCGAGGGAGGAACAGACACGCATCCCTGCGGAGAGGTCGCAAACTCCCTCACTCCCTCCCTTATTTATCATAGACCGCGACTCCCGTGGAGAGTTCGCGGCAAATCCAATCACGTGCAGTGGCCGTCAACGGCAGACGCGTGCGCCGCACGCCACCACCCCAAATTTTTCGCAGTCCCGCGCGCGCGTGTGCCGCGCCTTGGACAAACCTCGCCAGTGGCGGGGGAAAAAAAATAAAATAAATATATCAAATACATGCGCCCGCCTAGAGTAGGCAATGAAAGTGTAGGGGGCAAGCGAGGCAGGAAAAAAATGTGTCCGGAAAGGACATGTCCCCATCCCTCCCGCTCTTATCCTCACAAAGAGCCACGAGACGTGGGGGCGTGCGTGGGTTTTTCTTCCCTTAGGGTTTATGCACCCACCGACCGCACGGCTCGACCCCCTCCCACCCACTGACGCGCATGCACACCCAACGACGCGTGCAAAACGCCTTTTTTCCCCCTTTTTTTGGCCCCGCAGTACTGGGCGCCTTGGGGGCCGACAACGTGGCGGTCATGAAGGCCCTGCAGCCGCTGAACCCCCTGCCGCGTGGAGGGCACTGATGGCAGCAGCAGCAGCATCGGCGGCTGCAGGAGGAGTATCGTAGGAAGCCGGGGCAGGAGGGTGGACAGAAACAACAAAAAAAAAAGACTGCACTCGTTCCTTTCCAACGGGGCACATTTACAACGAAGAACGAGGACAAAAAAAAAGGAATAAAAAAACAACAACAACGGCAAGTAAAATGGAGCGCACCATTAGGCTACGAAGAGCCTCAGTTGTCCGCACACCTCTTTTTTCCCCCTTCCTTCTCCCCACGAGTCTCTCTCTACATGGCAGCGAAAGAGACAGGGGGGGGAACGTACCAAACACGATGGAATAATAACGGGGGGAAAAAATTGCCGATATAAACTACATTGCTTACATCAAAACGATGCGACGAGTTGGTTCAGAGCTCGGTCGCGACGCACTCCTCGCCGCCTTCCCAGATGCGGTAGCGCAGCTTGGCGTCTTCAGGCACGTACACAACCACCGGGCGCTTACTGTTGTACTCAAACAGGCTCCGCCTACCGAGTGCCACGAACTCCGTCCGCGGCTCGAGTCCGGGCGGCACCGCCATACGCGTCCGCCCCGTGCGGCCGAGGCTGACCCTGTAGTAGGGGTAGGCGTGCCCCTCCAGGCCGTGTTCCTCGACGTCGCCGAAGAGGAAGTTGTGGTTGACGCCGTCCACGAGCTGCATGCGGCCGGGGACGAGCTCCAGCATGCGGTGCTCCCTCTCCACCGCGGCGTCCAGGGGGTCAAGCAGAAACTTGCAGCACCGCTCCCCCTCCTCCGGTGGCGGGAACTTCTTCGTCACTTGACAGTAGTTCTTCGGGTCACGCATTTGGGGGGCACGCGAGAGATGCTTTTCGTTGCCGCAGCCTTTGGCCTCCGCTTCGCCGCCAATCCTCTTCGACGCGCCGTGCGCAGACGGCATGGGCAGCAGAAGCAACGACCACCGTCCCTTTCGCAGGATTGCGGTGCCCGCCAATCGTTGTCGCCTACTCCGCCTGGACGGTAAAATACCTTCAGTCCGCCTTCTCGGGTGTTGATTTTCTCTTCTTCTTTTTTTTCTTTGCTTTACTTTGCCGTTGTGGTTACTTCTCCCACGCCGCCGCCTTCTTCACTCACAGACGCAAACGAGCCTGCCCGCTGCCGCCGCGGAGAAGGGGGGCAAAAAAGAAAAAGAAAAAAAGAGGCAAACGGCGCGGTGCAAGAAGAGAGCGGCCGGTACCTCACGCCTGCAGGCGCGTCAACCGCCCGCGAAAAAGTACACCCGGGCGCTTCCCCCCCACGTCCCCACGCTCTTCGCTGCGCCAACGTCCTTCGATCTGCTGCCTTTAGTGCCGGGGACCAATTTTTTTTTGTTCTTGTTGTTGTGTGCGGCCGTCATCGCCCTTTCCGCCCCCGCTCCCTTCCTTTCGCGCGCTTCCCCGTTCACTCCCCGCCGCTGCCGCCTGTGCCGTTGGACTGCGTGGCCGCTGCTCGTGCCGCCTTTCCCCGCTGCGCCTCCTCCCGCAGTCGCCGCCTGTACTGACTCAGCCGGCGCTGCACCCTCTTTGTTGGTGGGACGAGCGTGTGCAGGGGCTTGCGTCGCGCCGCTGGCTCGAGCGGGTTCGGAATCTCCTCTGCGGGCGACAGCCGGTCAATCACCCCGCTGCGCGCAAGATACATGTACCCGCTGTACGGCAGGTTGCTCTTCTGCGACCACCACTTCATTGGCCGCGCACTCGGGGCGTCGTCGAAGACGTAGTGGTCCACGCCCTGGTGCAGGTTGTACTCAAACAGCACCACCGGGGCCCCGCGGACGAACGGGGAGCCGACGGTCGCGCCCGTTGGGTACACGTCGTGCGGCTGCCCCGCGCCGCCAAACACGGCCGGCTTAGACATCTGCAGCTTAAACGGTAGGTCCGCCTCGAGCGGGACGTACGGCGGCGGCGTGCGTGTGGCCCAACTCAGCGGCACCAACGTCTCCAGCTCCTCGCCATCACAGTTTGCTTCATCCTCCGCCTCCGCTCCATGGCGCTCGCCGCCAGCCCCGTTAGAGTGACTTCGCAGCGGCCGCACGAGACGGCAGCGCAGGGCAGAGGCATGCGCCAGCTGGTGCACCGCGTCGAGTGCCGTCATCGCGGGGGCCTCGAACTCGCCCAGGTAAAGTCGATCCTGCTGCGCCACCTGCGAGGAGGCAATGACGCCCACGGCCTCCGACCCGCTCGCGCCACTGCCAAAGAAGCGCATGTGCGGCGCAAGCAGGGAGACCTCGCACTCACGCCGCTTGCCCACCTCATGCGGTGGGGCGAGGTCGTAGGTAAAGGCCCCGAGTTGGCTTTGCAGGGCACCGATGCGACGGGAACGCTGCCAAAGCATCGGTTTCCGCTGAAACCAGGTGCCGTACCCCTCCACCTGTGAGACAGCGATTACACCGCGTGGGATGCCCGGTTTCTGAAAGTTAAAGATGCCTCGTGTGTGCCCATGTGGTCCCTCCTCAATGTCGAGCACGTCCATGGCATCAAGCGGGCCGACGTGCACAATGTCCGTGCGCAGCCGCTCACCGCGGATGCCAAACGCGCACGTCACATAGGACCGCTCGACAATCCCCTTTGGCCGCAGCAGACTATGCTGGGCGTGGTGCACGAGGTAGACACCGTGGCCCTTTTGGACAATGTGCCGCAGGGAAAAGTTGACATGCCGTGACATGCACTCCAGCGTGATAAGTTTGTTGTGGTCGATGGTGACACGGCTGCCTCCGCCACTGCCGCCGTGCAACGACGCGGATGAGGCCCCTGACGTCGGCGGCGGTGTGTTGGGCGGCGTGGAAGCCGAGGCAGCCTCCGCCTCTGCCTCCGCGTGAACCTTCTTCTGCGCCGGGTGATGCTGCGGGCGAAACGTCACCTGCGGCAGGAGCAACGGGGCCCACTGCGGGTCGCCAAACTTGTACGTCGCCACGTACGTGTTGATTTTGTTCATGTTTTTGCTGCGTCGCATGGACGCCACACAAAGCTCGTCCGGGTCACGCACCCAGCGACGCGGCTGAATGACGTCGCCCCCCTCCGCGTGGGGGGAATGCAACTCCCTCGTCTTTTCCCGCATCCGCAAGTGAAGGCTTGTCGTCGGCGCCGACGCTGCGCCCCTGTCGCCGTCTGCTGTGCCAGCGGCGGCGTGCAGGAGCGGCACGGTGGCGTTCGGCTGCGCAAACGCCATGGGGTACGTCAAGAGCCGAATGCGGTCAGAGCTGGGCCGGCGCGACGGCGCAAAGAGCCACAGTTGACGCTGCATCCGGTAGTGTCTTGTTGTTGTTGTGGTTGCCTCCAGTGCGGGCGACTGTGACGCACACGTGCTGCTGCGCCCTTCCCTGCGCCTTCAATCGCTCGGCAGAGAGAGAGAGAGAGAGACAGAGGAGGGGGCAAGAGCGCAAGTGAGTGGAAAAGAGGGAGAGGCACAGAAAAGCAAACAACGCGGGGCGGGAAAGAGGAAGCGGCGCACAGGCAACCCACGCTCAAGCTCAGGTTTGAACCTCGCCAGTCTACCTTCATGCATTCCTTCATTCATTGTCCCACGCATCCCCCAGCCACGCACACACAGAGACACGCCCATTGCTCGTCAACTATCTCATTCCTCCAAGCGCTACTATCCAGTGAATGACTCCTACCTAATTTAACACCGTTTGCCGCGCCTGCATTCGGCGGGCGCTGACGCATTAGACTATCCTTTTCCCTACTCAATCTTCACCTCGAAGAGGCCGACCTGCTTCGAGAGGTGGCTGGGGTGCTCCTTGCCCTCCGCCTTGGCCTTCTCCGCGTTCGCCTCGTTCTGCTTCACGAGGTCGGCGGGGCAGGACTTGAACTCCGCCTCCATCACCTTCTGGATGCAGTAGCCAAGGCGGAACTGCCCGCTCTTCACGCACTCCTTCATCACCCACGTCCAGGACTCCTCGTTCGGCTTCATCTTGTTGCGGTGGCTCATCTCCTCCATCAGGTCGAGCATCGCACAGAACTTGCTCTCGTTCTCCACCGGCTGCGCCTGCTTCGACGGCGCCTCGTAGATGCGCTGCAGCGTCGCGTTGTACGTCGCGAGGTCGGGCGGGCAGTTGCCCACGTTCATGTTCACAAGCACCTCGCCGGCCTCGTCGTAGTACTTGCACTTCTTGATCTTTTCGATCCACGGGGCGGTGTTGGTGTCCACCTCGTAGCCGAACAAGTCGTACTTCTTCGCGCCGCTGGTCGCGGCGAAGCGGGCCGCGGCGGCAACGGAGGCGTTTCGGACCAGTTGGTTAGTGGCGCGGCGCATCGTCGAGTTGTGGGATAAAATGTGGCAGTGCGAGAACCGAATGTACCTGAACCCTTGGGCCCTGTGAGAGACAGCGAACACTGCGGAAGAGGAAACAACAAGCGGCACACAGAAAGAAGTAATAGAGGCGACGCCAATCGCGTGGCGTGCATGAGCGTGCCCAGGCCTTCCCCCTCCCGTCCGCCTGCGGCGACCGCGCGCCTCGACTGCCGCGCAGAGGGCGGGCCGGGAGCAGCGCGGAGGCAACCAACAACAACAACAAAAAAAAAAACGGACGGGGCGGCTGCCGTTGCGTGACGGGGGGCCGCCGGTGGGCCCAACGCGGGGCACGTGTCTGCTCTGCACGCACCACGAGGGCGTGCGCGAAGTCTGCCTCTCCCCAAGACCCGGTGGGATTCACAAAGCGAAGCACCTCACCGCCACGCAACAGCCGTCTCCTCCTCCTCCTCCTCCTCCTCACTCTCTGTTTTTGTTTCTCTCTCTTTTTTCTTTTTTCTTTCTTCTTCCTCGCACCCGCGCGGCGCAAGAAACCACTGGGAGAAAGAAGGAGAAGTAGTAGTAGTCATAGTAAAAGATAACGCAGGGAGTGGCGTGGCCCAATGTTGTGCGTGTGCGTGTGTGTGTGGGGAGGGCGTCGGCGTGGCAGGCGCGCACGCACGAGCCCCAACCCTTTTTTTTTGTCTTCGTCGTCTCCGCCGTGCCGCGGCCTCAGCGAAAACAAACAAACAAACAAAAGTAAAAAACAAAACAAAAACAAAACACGAAAGGGGCAGAGAAGCGAAAAAGAGAAACACGACCAAAAAAAACAAAAAAACAAAAAAAAACGGAAAACAACAACAAACAGCGAGGCTGGCAAAAGCGCCCTCATGCCTGCGTTGCCGACGGCCCCGCTGTGCGCTCGTCCTCCGCGTGGCGGTCCCTTCGCCTCGCCTCGCCTCCTTCACACGCACACGCACACGCACACACACCACCCGCCGCTCTCCGTGCCCGCACCTCAATCCTGCTAAATGTTGAACCGGTTGTCGTGCGTCTGGTACACACTCCCCTCCGCCGCCAGCGTCCGCAGCGCGACGCGAACGTCATTGACGCTAAACCCGTACGGCCGTGCCGCGGCGGTGAGTTCGTCCATCGTCAGCCCCACGTCACCCCGCGCGTTTTGCTTAATCGCATTCAGCAGCACATCTGTGGCGAAGACTTTGCCATCGCCCCCCGGCAGCATGTTCTGCACCCCCAGCGCGCTCGCCGTGTTGCTAACGGCCGGGACCGCAGCTTCCTCCTTCGCGTGTTTGTTGCCCCGCGTCAGCCGCAGGTGCGTGAGTATGGCGTCGAGGTAGTGGTAGTTGAGCTCGTTGCAGTCAGAGACGAGCCGCACCGTGCCGGTGACGATGGGGGCGTTCTGCCACACCTTCACGGTGCCCGAGACCCGCACGTAGCACTGCACCGGGAGCGGCTCCTCCTGGTGCTCAGACTCCATCCACTGGCGCACCACGACGAGGCCGGTGCCGTCGGTGATGCGGTAGCCGTAGTGCTTCGCCGTGACGGCGCCGGTGAGGCGGTTGGCCGTCTCGTCCTCGTAGCCGATCACGCGGCCAACGACGGTCGCCTGCGTGACCTCGCGGCCGTCGACCACCATCACCCCCTCGCCGACGCGCTGCGCCTCCAGCAGCTGTTTTATCGTCACCGGGCGAATGGGATGCATGCGACGCTGTGGCCGGTTGCTGCCGGCGGCCGTCCCAACGGCACCGTCGCCGGCCGCATTGCTGGCAGCCTGGCCGGAGAACCCGTACGCAGTTAAATCCATACCTGCTCGCTTGTTCGGCGCTTCACCCTGCGGGGACTCAACGAAGACGCACGCCGCCAGTGCGGCATCCGCGACCGACGGAGAAAGGGCAGAAGAAAAGGAAAGAAGGCAACAATAGTAACCACCACCGGCAATAATAGGAAAGGGAGAAGACATCCTCCAGCCGCAACGCTGAGCGGCGGCGCCGACGTCCGCACGCACAACACCGCCTCTCGCAAGCGCCCCCCAACCATCAGCATCGTCGAATGGAAATGGCGCAGAAGAGAGACGACAGAGCCACGCACCCGCGCCCTCTCGGCACACTTTGTCTTGCCTCCGCCGTGCCTGCCTGCGCGTTACTACCACTACGCACAGGCAGGAAGAACAACAACGGCACAAGCCTCCCTTTTCCCTCTGTCACCGCATATCCGCCTTTTTTCTCCTGTTTTTTCTTCTTCTTCTTCCTCTCTTGATCTGTTTTACAATGACGCTTGTGGGGCGACCTTCCCCTTCGCTCTCAAAGGAAAGGCGGTGAAATGACAAGCATATTTATATAGCTATAGCTATATAAATATATATATTTTTATTTTACATGGGCTTCCAATGTTCTCCTTTGCTCTTCTTGATGTCATGTCTTTGCCTTGTCGGTGTGCCCCGCAAGGGAAGCCACAGCGCCCGCGGGAAAGGCTGCTCCCCCTCCCACCGCACTTTAGTCAGTTCCGTCCGCAGGCGCTGCCGACGTCAGCGTGCGGGGCTTGCGCACAAACACACACGAAAGCAGGAACAGAGCATAGAGGGAAATGTCCGCCTGTACACTGCCAATGCAAAGGGAGTAGCGAAAACGGCAAAAAATATATCATGCATATTGTTAGTTTCCCTCCGCTCCTACCCTTTGCTGTTGCCATTTTTTTTTGCCTTTTCGGAGCAGAGCGGAGCGGGTCGGGCGGTGAAAAGCGTGTCTGCTGCTCCGCTCCCCTGATCCCCAGCTGCTAGAATCACTAGGCGCGTTCCTGCGCCTACTCCGCGCCGCCATCCAAGCACGCATACACATGTATTATATATATATATATATATCACCTTCTCCATCGCCAACAAAGACATGCAGCAAGCAACGACACCAACAATGTGTACATCCACGGCGCACGCTTCTAGATGGCGGGGCAGCGATACAGGTAGGGCAGTCCCTGCGTCCGCTCCTTTGAGCGCTGCATCGCCACCAGTACCCGCTGTGCCCCCGCGTCGGTGTTCTCCCCCCCGGGCTCTAGTCCCGTCGCCTCGGGCTGCACCTTCACCACACGCGGCGCCTCGTCTAATCCTCTACTTCCGCCGATGGAGGGCTTCTGCATCGCCTCCGTCGCGTCGCTGCCGTTTAACACACACTTTTGCAGGAGACGTGCAAGGCTGTATTTGGTGTGAATTTTCTGCATGGACACGGAGGAGGCAAGGATGCGCTCGGCTAGCAGCAGCGTGTCCCGGAAGATGGCCCGCTTTAGCACCCCACCGACGCTGGTCGAGTTGTTCCAGCCCTCGGTGTGCTGCGCGGCGTGGCGCGGGGCGGCCCTTCGCGCGGCGGCGGTGCTGATTCCCTGCTTCAGGGCGGGAGCCTCTCCGCGTGGCGCCTCCATGCCCGACGCGGTGCCGTCCCTACCCGCCTCTTCCTCCTCGTCCTCGTCCTCGTCAAGGTCCCCGGCGACGGACTCGCTCGCGGCCCGCTCCACCGTCTCCCTGCTCCAGTTGTTCTCCCGCGCAATCTCCTCCACGCGCTCCCGCATGATGGCCAGCGCCCCCGCCACCTCGTAGTCGTTGATGAACTTCTCGTAGTCAAGGTTCTTGGCAAAGTCCAGCAGCTCGTCGGCGTCCGCCAATTCATCTTCTAACGCCTCGTCCTCCGTAAGTGCCCACTTCGGCTTCCGCTTCTTCTTTGCCGCCGCCTTCTTCTTCTTCTCAGCAGCGGCCCGCTCGGCAGCGGCGGCAGCCCGCTTCTCCTCATCCTCATGCTGCTGCTGCTGCTGCTGCTGCTGCTCCCTGCTCGTTGGCGCCGCCTCGGCGGCCGAGTAGGGGCCACCAGAGGCCGCCTCCGCGCGCTTTTGCGCCTGCTGCTGACGAATCTGCTCGGCGCGCTTGGCAAGCTCAATCTCGCGCTGTATCTCGTCGTTCTTCATCCGCCGCACCTGATCCGCAAAGCTGCGAAGCCAGCGCCGGTGGCGCGTCAGCACCGTGCACGCGTTGGCGCGCTGCACCTTGTAGTTCTCTAGCCGTCTGCGGTGGTTGCGCTCCATGACCGCTCGGTCCTCGACGGAGGGCCCCAAACCCGGCTGCGATTCTGTCGCGCCGCCGGGCACAAAGGCGGGGGGCGCCCCGCCGCCACTTGTCAGCAAAACCCCCGCCTCCACGGTCTCCCCGCGCAGCTGCGCGGAGGGGCCAAACGGCAGGTTCGTCGGGCGGGCGCAGAGCAGGATCCCCTTGTAGTTCTCCATCAAGACGCCGGTGTCCTTTCCGGTCTTGCCGTACATCGCCGGGGCCTGGCTGAGAATCACATCCTTGTAGCTCTCCATTGGGCCCCGATTAAAAAAGAGATAAAGCACAGGCGCGCACACACACACACAAAAAGTAAATCAACGACGATGCGTTTTTCCTCCCGATCCTTGCCCTGCTGCTGCTGCTCCTTCTGTACGGTGCGGTGCGAGGAAACTTGCGGGCTTCCTCCTTTTTCTTCCACTCTCCGTGCCTGCGTGTGTGCTGCTTCCTGCCTTCGCCTTGCGCCCGGTGTGCAGCAGCACCAACGGTGTAACTCCTGACTTCCAGCGCACCCACAAAAGAACAGCAAAAAGAAAAAAAAAGAGTGGAGTCGGGGCAACGCGTCTCACGAGGAGGCAGACGCAGCAGAAGTGAGCGGGGAAGGAATTAAATAAGGAAGCCAAAAACAACAACAACAAACAGCAGACAATGGCCCTATTTTTTTTTTTTTCAACACAATACCATATGGCCGAAGCCTGCGGCGCGAAATCGCAGAAAAATCGTATGTACATTCATACATGTAACCCCCCACCCAGCATGCTGGCACAAGATGCTCCGTCTCTCTCTCTCTAATTGCACTCGCGTCTGCGAGGTTGGGAAACGATAAGGTGAGGCCCTGGTGCTGCCCCCGTCCTTCGTTCCGTTCACTTTCAGACGAACTAAGGCGACGACTCCTTGCGGACCGCAGCAGCGCTCTCCGGGGAAACCCGCACATGCTCTGTCGTCTGCTCCCTTTTGACCTTCGCCACCGGCGCCGGCGCCGCCGCAACCGGTTTGAGGGGAACTGCCGTCAGCCGCGGCGTGACGTAGCGCCCCCAGTGGGAGGCGCCCAGGAGGGTCAGCGTGAGCGCGGCCGCCCCCTCCACCTCCAGCAGCAGCGTCAGCTCCGTCGCGAGGGGCAACAGGTCGCCACCGCCGTCGTCGTCGTCGTCGTCGTCGTCGCCGTAGCCGCCGTAGCCGTCGTTGCCGCCGACCGCCTCCTCCGCGCCCCCGTTTGCCCCCGCCGGCGCCGCGAGGCCGCGCAGCTCGCAGAGGTGGTTTGGAGAGCCGTAGCTCAGCCCCCTCGCACACGGCCCGCGCAGACGCGTCTCACCCGCGCGCTGAAAGAAAAACATGGCCTCCTCCACGGCCAACGCAAAGTCAAACGCCATCAGCGGTCCGCTCAGCGCCACGGCATCGCCGCCTTTTCTTACTTCGGAGGTGCCCCCCGTCTCACCCGCGTCCTGGGAGTGACAGAGCTTCTTCTCACGCACGGCATCCAGGGCAAAGATGGCGTGAAAGTAGCGTTCCAGGGTTGCCTGACAGCCCTTCGTGCTCGCCGCAAGGTGAAGCACATCGGGAAGAAACGGTGTGCGCCGTGAGCAGAGTTCCCCGTTCACAAAACCAAAACACACCGTGAGAAGGCGCAGCAAATACCGCTCAACAAAAGCCGCCGCCTTCGCAAGTGCGGGGTCCTCAAAGAACGGCCACCACTTGATGCGCTGCCACTCCTCCACGGACACGGTGCCGGGGTCTGGCATGCTATCGGGGCCTTGCTCTCGCACCGCACGCGGAAGCGATTTTATCATCTGACGCAGCTGCATCGTAGAGGGCTCCAAACATCCGCCTGTGGCATCGCCCAGGCAAAGTCGTCGCAGTATGACACTGATGAAGTATTCACGCACGTGCAACAGTGGCTTTTTCGCCCGCCGCCGCGCCTCAGTCTCCGTCGGCAACGATGCAGGGGAGGAGGCAGAGGAGAGATCGTTGGCGTTGCAGCAACTCGGAAAATGTTGTTGTTGGGCCTGCACGGCGGCACGGAAGATACGACTAGCGTCATCCTCCGTCACAAAAGGCTTTTTCAAGCCCCCGTAGCACTGGACGCCTGCGAGCCAGGGCAGGGTGAAGTCCACCTTGATCCCATCCTCCTCCACCAGGGCAGTCGGCGGTGGAAACGGGAGAGAGACGCCGATCCGCTCGGCGATGGTGTGCGCCCTCGGGGTAAGAAACCTCCAAAGCGAGCTGAGCTGCACAAGCATTGCAGAGTGCAGAAACTCCACCTCGCTAAGCACCGGCTTTTCGTGAATGGCAAAGAACTGCAGCGTCACCTCCATCTCCGTCTCCCACCAGCAATCCCGCTCCGCATCCGTGGAGAGGGCGAGCGTCGGTGATTGGCTAGCCAGCAGCTGACGCGCCAGCGAGGGCGGGGGAGCGGAACCTTCGCGGGGAACGACGGTGGGCGAGCAAAAGATAGACGCAATATCCGTTGGACGGCACTCGGGCGGGAAGGAGCCATGCGGAGGCAGCGAGAGTGCGGTGACGTACATGGCGTCAATCCACCGCGCCGCACAGATGCTGGCCACCGCGCAACAGCGCCGCAGTGCACGAATAGAAGCCATCGCCCGTCCAATGGAAACAGTGATGGTTGGCGACGCGACCTCCGACGCGGCTGCCTCGTCGGAGTGCGGCAACGCACTTTGCTCGAGCGGCGAAAAGGCAAACAGGTACGCCACAAGAACTTCGGTTACCTGCGACGCCATTGCTAGCAAACTCTCGGTATTTGACTCACTGAGCTCCTTCTCGGCATTATGCACAAAGGCCCGCAAACACGCTAGCATGGTCTGCTGCACGTGGGAGGCATAGACCCACAGCTCCTGCTGGAATTCGTTGAAGGACGTCGTCTGGCCATCCAGGAGCCCCACCATCGTCTGCACCTTCTCGAAGCTGAGGCGGGAGACGGAGTCAAAAAAGGACTTCCTTGCGGCGTCGGCGGACATGCTGCACTTGGGCGTTGCCGCACTTCCTTCCTCCCCCGCTCCCGCCACTGCCGCCTCCAACTCCTCCCTCGCGGTGTTGTTGGGGCTATTAGCGGCAGTGGGCGCGTTGCTCGGGAACGGGGGGACGGGGGCCTTCTCCGCGTCAGGGCACGGCGCGGAAGTATTGCACATGTGACCCCGCGCCCAGAAGCA